ATATCAAAAAAGTACTCCAGAGTGTTGTTCAGCATGGGGGTGAGTAGAAAATGAAGGCTAATCATGTTTTGGGTGTACTATTCCTTTAAGTTCATAAAAACAAGCCAATTAAATAAGAGCTGTTTCAATGGGATCTTTAGCTAAAATGAAATACTGGTTCCTGGAGTGTGGCTGCCTAATTCCAAGGAAGTATCTGCTATATTGGGATTGAAGGTTTTTACTTGCAGGAAAGTAACTGTAACATAATAGTTTGCCTGTAAGGATATAGAACAGCTGAGCAGAGGAGCTGAGGGAGGGAGGCTAAATCAAAAACAGTTACAGATAGGAAGGTTGAATTAGACACAAACACACAGAGGAAAGAGTATTAAGAATCTGAAAACAAAGGAATAAAATCAATATGGAAAGATTTTATTGACAATAATCAAGAGCTGAATATGGCAAGACTTTAGAGACAATAAGGAACAACATTCAGAAAAAAAACAGAAGAAGATCAAAGCACAACCACCCAGTAAAAAGCAGGAATTCTACAGAATCCAGTTGAACCAACCCCTCTGTGTGTGACGGCGCAGACCTACCGACTGCACGGCGTCCATCTCCTCCCCAACGTTGCGCTCCGCTCCTTTAGGATCGACGGTTCTCTCTGTGAAACTAGCGCCGGTTGTGTAACCTCTGCTGCCTTTCGGATCCTCATCTGCCACTAAAACTAAAACTTCCTCTGGGTCACTTCCTCCTCCCACTTCCCCTCATCCCTCCCAGCTTACGTCATGAAGTCACACTCAGGTGTTTCAGCAACATTCAACCAGATCAGAGGAAATCAGTGCATTTAATGAACAACCGGAACATTCAATGTGCTTTTAAACTCAGTTTAACAACTAAAGAAGCTGATATTCTCTAATAAAACAACACAAATAGTGCAAATCTCCATACTTGATACATAGAAACTCCTTCATTTAAATCAAATGATTCTTAAATACAAATTTGTGCTTTTCTTAAACCAAGAGTTCAGATGGTTTCCAGTCTTCACCCATCGATCGGCTCATTCAGCCATGAGTGATCGTTTCAAAACATTTTCAGTGATTAAACTTTGATTTATTCACACTTTAAAGGAAAAGTCCGGTCAGCAAGGAGTAATCAATGGATCATTATTTATACCTAAAACTAATAAGTTCACGATGATTT